TAATGAGGCTTCGAGGAACCAGAGGGGCCTGAGAGGACTGGAAGTGGCAATGGGACCATCACCACCACAGAGTGACCCCGTGAGCATCTTCCCTGCTAACCCAAGAACACAAGAATATAGAGTTTGGAAGGTCTGGAGAAATGAAGTAATGGCTGACTTGTGAATAATGACGAAAATATTTGATGATGTGACTCCCAGGGAAGCAATTATGGTTAACCCCTCGTTTGTTTGGCATTTTCAAGGATTGAACTGTCCCACATAACTGAATTTTCCAGACAACTAAAACTTTCCTATTTATGCGCCTTGAATGTTTTTAACCATGCTTGGTGGAAATGTTTCTGAAATAGATTATACAATTATCCTGCCTCCTTGAACAGAAGCTGCAAGAAATAACATTTCCTTTAGTTGCCTTTGACTGCAGGTCTGAGAAGACCTGATTAAATAGGTTTAAATAGTTAGGGCTTGTAATCGTCTCACATAACAAGAAATCCAGAGCTGGGCAGTACCAGAGAATGATGAATTCTCAGCTCAGTGATGTCAGGTTGACTTTCCAAAAGCTCATGGTCATGAGATGGGTGCACAGCTCCAAGTCCCAAGATCTCACACGATAAGATCTAGGCAAGAATGAAATGGGGGCTTCTCCGTACATGTGTCTTTAATTAGAGAGGAAAATATTTCTCAGAAGACCCCTGGCCAACTTCCCCTCAGGTCCCATTGGCAGGACTGAGTCACATTTCTATACCTTGGTTTTATGGGAAGTCTGAGGGAGTGAATACCCAGCACTCTCCGACTATGGGGTGGGAGGAGGGCTCTGCCCGTAAAAAAGAAGGATGGAGAATGGCTGTTGGGTAGGCAACCAAGAGTGTTGGCCATATTACCAAGATTGGGAGTGAACGTCACTACGTATGGTTATAGCTTGAGGGATGGTGGAGCTTTTTGCTCCTACGCTGAATCACCCCAGACTCGGCTGCTTTTTGATTTCCTAAGTCTGCTTTTATTTCGTGTTCTCTCTCCTTGCTTTATGCCAGACTGCTAATTATCACTACTTGCTGTTAATGTCCCTTGCCCTAATCTTGCCATCATTAGATTTTTTTTTTTTTTTCTGGAAAAACCATATGATCCAGCTTTTTAGAACTATGCCTGAAATGTTGAGTGAGTACCTGGCAGCTGTCCTGTGGATCAGATACATAGTGTGGCATTTCTTTTGGCTGTTCAGTGTCACTTTTCCATTGTTGAGGTTTTCGGGGAAGTGAGCAGTTTTTAGAGAGTCTTATGAACTTAGATAAATCTAATGAAGTCTTCTTCTGGTGCAAGGATGAGCACATAGGGGCAGTTACGCTTATTTACTAGAGAAGGTAAAACTGTCGGAACTTCAGCATGGTTTAGAGAGAGGCAGCAGAGTTTATCAGTGCGTTCAGCTCCCTCTCAAAGCTGCACGGAGAGTGGTTGCTTGGACAGCACCACCAGCTCTGGGACTGTGACCAGTGGAACCTGTTACTGCAGCCACTGTCCAGTATGAGGCAAGCTGGTGCAGAGCTTAATTATTCCTGCCTTCTGCCAGGGTGTCAGAGCCCTGTGAGTGACTCCTGTGAAATGCCCAGGTTGAGCAGAATTAGCAGTGTTTGGATGTGACTTGTTTCAACAAGTTCTTGAAGAAAGTAATGCTTCAGAAACGGTTATTGAAATTATACTGAACAAGTGGGGACCATGCCCCCTGTGACTCGAGAGCCGACCAAGATTCAGTCTCTGTGTACAGAAGGAAGGAAATAGGAAGCAGTTGTGAGCATTATACTGACAGTGAGTAACTGAACCAAATGGAACGGTTCTACTCTGGGAAGCAAACCCGAGCTAGTAGACAGGTTGGGTTCTAAGGAAGCAAATGTTAAAATGTTCAGATTTGACATGGCTGAGATGATGAGCCCAAACTGCTTAGAACCTTGGGAGTTCCATAAAGCGAGTTAGCTGCTTGAAGGCCCACCAGTCATTATTTTAGTATGCATCAGAAGATCATGACTTAGCCTATAGGCAAAATCTGAAGTGTCAGAAACCTTCGGGGATAAGGAAAACAAGTTTTAGTTTTTTAAAAATTTTGACTAATTTGTACCATTCAAATCATTCTTCTAAGAAAAATGCAAAGTATTTCTCATAAATCGTTTATTTACTCACTCCTTCTTATGCATAGAACATTTTTAAAGAAGCCATCCTTTTAGTGACTGCTGACTGGTCCAGGCAGGATATACCCTAGTTAAGCTGAGCAAGGTATTTATATTTTTCTAATTTTATTTTCTCATATGTGAATTAATATGTGGATTACCGATTTTACCTTTGAGGGACTCTGACCAGTCCTGCCACCCCTACAGCCACTGTGCCCCCTGTAGCCACTGTGTTTGAATTTTAATATTGACTTCAAAAAAGCTTCCAGCAACTCATTTTCTAGAAAACAAAATAACAGGAACAAAAAATGTAATGCATTTCAAAGCTCCAAAAAGCTGGTAGCTTGAGAATCATGAAGCCTATGGTATTATCTGTATTACTGGGATACTGAGTGGTGACTGTTCTTACTTTGAATTTGTATATTATTGCCATTGAATTTTATTATTTGAAATTATTGCTGTTTTGAAGGGAAGCTTGCATGTTAAACACTTTTCACCAGTGCTATTGCTATTGCTTTGGGGGTTCATCTGAATCTCATTTTAATGTGTGGAAACTTATATACACTATAAACATAGTTGAAATCAAAGGAAAGAATATGTGAATAGGCATTTTTCTAAAATTAATGAGAGGAAATGAAATGAGTGATCAGAAAAGAGATAAACAGTTTTAGAAAACGATATTTATTCAAAGTGACTGAAGACAGGACTTCCCTGGTGGTCCAGTGGCTAAGACTCCACACTTCCATTCCAAGGGGTGCAGGTTCGATCCCTGGTCGGGGAAGTAAGATCCCACATGCCACATGGTGCAGCCAAGAAAATGTAAAAAAAAAAAAGAAAAAACAAAAAACACCCAAAAAGACTGAAGACATTACAGATGAAGCTCTGTAAGACGAAGGGATTCCAAAGGGTTTCTGAATGCAATGACTTATCATTTGAATTGCTCTGTTTTTCATGTTTTGTATTATTCCTATATGTTACCAAATCTTTGCTTTGGCACAAATAGACATGTATTGAAACTGCATTGAGGCACTTGGAAAATGTGATTAAAGAGTGGACATTCAAAATCTTGCCACTTTTCTTTGGTCGTGGTGTGATTCATTTGTCAGAAACCCCCTGCAGCACTGAGTCAGAGTCAGATATACTTAGACGTCTAAGAGGCCTTACCAACTGGACAGTTTTTTAAGTTTGCTGCAAGCCTAACTTCCTTCAGGAAATCATTTTGGGTACTTAGTGGGCCTAATCCAAGTCAAATGTCACCCTAACTGACATGGTGGTACATGTATAACTATCTAGTATGTATTTTTCTGTCATGTATTTGCCTCATGGAGCCGACAAGTTGAAGCCGATACATCCTTCACAGTGGAGACTTTAGCTTACTAAAATTGTAATTTTGACGTAGTGAGTATGTTGTGAGCAGGTGATACCAGTAAACCCAAGAGCAGGTGGCAATGTGACCAGTAGAAGGAGCTTAGGATTTAAATCATAGGACTAGACTTGAGTCCTGTGTCTGCGTAGCTATGGCCTGAGCAAATTAATAAACCTCTCGGAGTCTGTTCATCTGTTAAATGCAGCTGGTAAAAATAATGTCTGCTTCAAGGAGTTATAAGTATCAAATCAGATAAAGTATATAAAGGTACTCTGCAAAGCTATAAAAGTCTATACACATTTTTCTTATTATTTTTTGTAAATTAATTAACGTGCCTGTTCTGTGTCCTTCAAGTAGGTAACATTTACAGAAATACATATTAATATGCCTTGAGGAATGTGCCATTGAAACAGTCTGCATTTTTAATTATGGTTTGCCTCAACTGGAAGCAGGAAGTCATTTTTAAAAATTATTTATTTATTTATTTGGCTGCGCCAGGTCTTAGTTGCAGCACACGGGACCTTCATTGCTACGTGTAGGATCTTTAGTTGCAGCATGCAGGATCCCTGGTGGTCCAGTGGTTAAGACTCCACGCTCCCAATTCAGGGTGCCCGGGTTCGATCCCTGGTTGGGGAACTAGATCCCGCATGCATGCCACAACTGAAGATCCCGCATGCCGCAACTAAAGGAAGTCATTTTATTTTTAAAAATTGAGTTAAAGGATCCCAAAATGAACAAATAAAGCACATAGTACTTGTTAACAGCAAATATTAGAATCAGTCTATACTACAACAGTAGACATATGTAGTCCCTGTTGCATTCCATTAAGGAGCTCCTACTGGTTTAGGAGATATATATGGTAACACATATAGAAAAATGTAAAACTGCTGAGTACCAAAATTCACTGCTTGATTGGAAGTAAGTGATAACGTTTTTCTTCTTTCTGGTGGCCCAGTTGCTGTATCCTATAAAAAAGAAAGATTATCACTTGCCCTCTTGATCCTCTTTCCAAATCCATTCTTTAAAGATGGTCTCCATCCCACTTCCTCCATCGAATTCTAGATGAGGAAGACAGTGCCTAACCTTTGAGGAGTTTCTGATATAATGGAGACTTAAAGCACATATACAACTAGCTCCTTTATGGAATAGTGGACAAGGTAAGTGCCACAGCAGGTCAGGTGGCTGGGGGTGGCCAGCTTCTGTAACCATTTCCTAGTCTTCCTTCAACACCTGCACATCATGCCTCATATTGGTTGAATTTTTATTTATGGGTGATTTGCCTCTCCTCCTAGATTGTAAACTCCATGAAGACAGGGAAGGCACCTTGTATTTCTTGGTCTCTCTCTGCATACCTTTTACCTAAGCCTCAACCAGTACTTGTGGTTCAAATAGTCTTGTACCCAACGTTCAGGTTTAGCCCAAAAAGTGTATTAAAAGGCATTTAAGCCCTAACTTTCTTTTCCTTTCTTCTGTCTTTGCAGTTGACCTGCCCCTGTTTTTTCCTCGAGACCAGCCGACTCTCACATTCCAGTCCGTCTATCACTTTACCAACAGTGGACAGCTTTATTCCCAGGCCCAGAAAAATTATCCATACAGCCCCAGATGGGATGGAAATGAAATGGCCAAAAGAGCAAAGTAAGTGAATCAATTGTTATTTCTTGCAAATAGAAACATTTTCTTTATCTAGTCCAGGAGTTGGGCAAGCTAATGCCTGGAGGCTAAATCCTGCCCTGTGCCTGTTTTTGTAAATAAAGTTTTATTGAAACAGCCACACCCATTTTTAAACTTATTTTCTATGGCTGCTTTCGTGCAACCATAGCAGAATGAGTAGTTGAAACAGACCACGTGTAGCCTGGAAAGCAAAAAATACTTGCTATTTGGCCCTTCATAGAAAAAGTTAGCCAACTCCTCATCTAGCCTCCTCAGGTAGATTGCCTTTTTTTCTTTTTAAATGGGTTATATGATTTTTCTGAAATCTACCTTTCTATTTATTTTATTTCTTTTTTTAAGATTTATTTATTTTTGGCTGCGTTGGGTTTTAGTTGCGGCGCACAGGCTCTTCGTTGTGGTGCGTGGGCTTCTCTAGAGTTGTGGCACGAGGGTTTTCTCTTCTCTAGTTGTGGCACGCAGGCTCCAGGGCATGTGGCCTCTGTAGCTGTGGCAAGCAGGTTCCAGAGCACTTGGGCTCTGTAGTTTGTGGCACGCAAGCTCTCTAGCTGAGAAGCGCGAGTTCAGTAGTTGTGGCACACAGGTTTAGCTGCCCCACGGCATGTGGGATGTTAGCTCCCTGACCAGGGATCCAACCCGTGTCCCCTGCATTGTAAGGTGGATTCTTCACCAATGGACCACCGGGGAAGTCCCTCTACCTTTCTATTTAGATTAGAGAATAAGTACTAGGTAGAAATTGGAGTTAAGGAATAACTGGTGTCGATGAAGAAAATATTGGCAGCTACTTTCATTTTTTTTTTAATGGAAAACTTCAGCTGACCGTAAACAAATAGAATTTTTGCCTAGTAGTCAACACATGGATCCAGTACCTAGTTTTTCATATGGAACTATAACGTCTTTGAAGGAACAGAGTGAATTATATATCCCATTGCATCTCTGCAGCCATTACCCAAAGTAGGGCCTATGTCTTCTTTGATTGAATAAATGGCTACACAAATAGCTTAGGACTGTTAAAATCCTTATGGAAGTAAGTTGGGAATTTGATAAAGGTTGAAGTTAGCTGGAGCTTGGAATTTAGAGATACAACTATTGCACATGAATCTCTCTGTAGAAAGCTTTCACCAGTCATATGGAATACGTAAGTGTAAATGCAGAGAGTTTTTTATAGGTAAGACTTCAGTATCTGGAACACCAGTCTTCATGAACCATGGCCTTCCTAGATTGCAGCAACAGTGGATCAACACCATAGTTTCCAAAACTAAATCATAAGAGTGGCAGGTGGTTATTACTTTATCACTCCGTACAGCCTTGTGCTCTCACCTGTGATCCCAGCTGAAGGATGATCAGATCCAAAGAATCACAGAAATGAAGAATATCAATTCAGCATCCTCTTTATTGCTCATCCAGTATTTACTGAGCATCTACCATGATCCAGGCAATGTGCCCCTTGCTGGGGATACAATGATAAATTAGAAATTGTCCATGTCTTCATGGAATTTATAGCCCAACAGGAGAGATCAAAGCCTTTATCATATCAAACGTGTGACGGTTTTAAAGTACCTACTAGTAAAACCTGGCCTTTCAGACCTAGAATGCTCTTGATTGGTAAGACTTCTTGCTCTTTCCTTCCCCTCCCTGGGTCCTATTTCCATCCCCAGGTACCCACTGACATCTATACTTTCTGTAGTACAAGGCCTTCACTCATAGCAGGGTTGGGGCTATTTTAAATAATGACAGAGTAGCTTTCTCTAGAAATCCAGACCTCCCCAGATTCACATGTGGAATCCAGAGCTGTTGTTACCTGAACCTTTAGTGTGCCCGTCCTCCCTGTATTCCTTTTTGTCTGTGATGCCCAAGCCTGAAATTCTATTTAAGGAAAATAACAAACATATGCAAATGTAACTAATAACAATGAGTAAGACTGACTTATCTTGAAATAAACTTGAAAAGGGGGATTATGATGTAAGTTTTACATTTGAGGGATTGCAGTTGTTTAATTCTCCGGGCTTTCCCTGTGTATACATAGGATCTGCCCTTAGAAGATGGGCTGTTATTTGTGGTATGTGCTGTGGAGTCTGAACCAGATGTGTTTTTGTGGTTTCCATAGCAAAGCTATCTCGGTGTGTGTGTGTGTGTCCGTCTGTGCATCCATATACGCACACGCGCGCTTCTCAAGTAGACATTTTAGAATGTATGAATTGAGTCTTTAAGGAGTTGCAGACCGCAAGCCTATGATTTCAGTATAGGAATATCGTAAGTGAAGCCTGTTTATCTTAACAGATTGGTTCAGAGTTGCAAGAGACATTTGCTTTACTTTACCAGCCTAAAGAAAACATCCGAAGTAATGTTAAAAAGGTCTGCTTTCTACTGTAGTGAAGATGGATCCATTTTAAATGTAATAAAAGAGAAAGCCAGCAGCTCATGCTAGGAAGAAGAAATAGTTTAAAACCTCCTTCTTAAATTGACCTGAGTAACTTCCCTGAGCTGTGTCAGAAGGCCAGGTAATGGATAAGCACAACCAGAGAACTGTCCTGCAGTACAGACCAGAGTTTGGTGGAGAAGGTGGAGAGACAGGACAGAAAGAGAGAAAGGTCAGCTGCAGCATTCCTTACACCCCCTGCTGAAAATATTGTATGTACACAGTGCGTAAAAGGCTATAATTCACTTGGAGAGCTCTGCCCAGGACATAAACACTCTCACGGTTTATGAACAGCGCTAGAGCCCTTTGAGTGGAGTCAGCTGTTTATTCCCTCCTGCAGAGCAAAATTCTAAGCATGTGAATTCAGAAAGGACACTTTCTGGCCAGGGCTCTTCCTATGACATGTACTTCTTGCTCGTGGCTGTTCAGCAAATTCTGTCCTCACAAGTAAATTACCCTCTGCTGGGTGAGCACAGGCTTCAGGGTCATGTGTGCCCCAGTTCCTATCACAAGTTCTAATCTATAAGCTCTGTGGCCTTGGGCAGGGCTATTAACCTTCCTGAACTTCTTCGTGTAAAACAAGACTGTACTCCTCCCTACTGATGGGCTTGATATGAAGGGTCAGTCAGTGGGTGGACATGTGAAAGACCGTTGGGTTTAGCTTCTGCTTTGTTCCACGGTGCCTGTGCCCACTGCTCTCCTCCTGCTGTCTTTCTGCTCCTGCAGGTCTACCCTTTCTTCCACATTCTTCCTTGTGGTTTTCCCATCCATGCTAACTTGCAGGCAGCTCGTTCCCCTCTTTCCAGTTTTGGTTGACTGTTGGTCATATACTGCTTTGAAATCTCTTTTGTATTATTCTTTGATTTTTTTCACGTCTTTGTATACATCTCATTTCCTTAATGGACCTGTGAGTCCTTTGAAGGCAAGGGTTTTGCATATATCTTTTAAAGATATTTATTGCCGTGTAATTTACATACACTTATAATTTACATACAATGAAGTGGACAGATTTAAGTGTATCTTTTTTAAAACAATTATTTATTTATTTATTTATGGCTGCACTGGGTCTTAGTTGCAGCATGCGGGATCTTCACTGCGGCATGCGGGATCTTTGTTTTTTAGTTGCAGCAGGTGGGTTCACAGTTGCGGTATGCGGACTCTTAGTTGCAGCATGCATGTGGGATTTAGTTCCCCAACAAGGAATCGAACTCGGGCTCCTGCATTGGGAATGCAGAGTCTTACCCACTGGACCACCAGGGAAGTCCCTATGTGTATCTTTTGATGGAGTTTTGACAAAGTTACCTTCTACCCCTTTCCAGTTAGTCTCCTCACCCCCAAGACAACGCTGTCTGATTTCTATCACCATGTCTTAGTTTTTCCTCTTCTAGATACTTCTAATAAATGGAATAATACAGATTGTACTCTTTTGTGTCTTTTATATTCAACATAATTATTTTAGAGTTATCTGTTGTGGCATTCCTTTTTTTACTGCTGAGCAATATTTCATTATATGAATATACTATAATGTACTAATCCATTCATCTGCATATTATATTTAGGTTGTTTCCAGTTTGGGGATTTTTATGAATAGAGCTGGTGTGAACTTTTATATAAGCTTTGTAATAGACATATGTTTTCAATTCTGTGGGTAGATACCTGGGAGTATGTGTATGATTAACTTTATAAGAAACTGACAACCTTTTTCGAAGTCCTACCAGTTTATACTCCCACCGGCAATATGCTGGGTTCCAGTTGTTCCGTATCCTCTCCAACACTCGGTATTATCAGTCTTTTTAATTTTAGCTGTGCTATAGGGGATGAAGTGATACAGCATTGTGTTTTTCATTTTGATTTCCTGATGGTTAATCATGAGCATATTTCATGTGCTTATTGGTGTGTTTTCTTTTGTGAAGCGTCTGTTCAAATTTTGCCTATTTTTAATCCGGTTGTTGGTCTATTTATTACTGAGTTTTAAAAGTTCTTTATATATTTGTCAGAAATATGTATTAGAGATATTTTCTCCTAATCTATGGCTTGCCTTTTCATATTCTTTTTTTTTTCAGTTTTATAATCTTTTATTATCAATAACAAACAGCTGCTTTAACGTCTTTGCCAGGCAGCTGTTAAAGGGTGGGTGGACGGACACCCTTGACCCTAACAAGGAAAACTCAAATTAAGCCTTTACGTACAAGCAAATTTAGAGCTCTTTTAAGTGTCCAAAGCTATTAATTAGTTTAAGTGAGGCATTAAACTAATTCTGTATCAACATATTTGAATAACCAGAAACTAAAACGTTCAAATGTTTCTAGTACAAAAAAGTTAAATTTGCTTTAGTTATAAAAGAGTTCTGTCAATATACACAAACTGTATACTTCAGACATTCACAAAAATGTGAGCAGAAGGCTTATAAAAAACATTGAATACAATTAGTTTTCAACAACCTCTGGTGGTCCACATCTACAAAGATACCCAGCCCAACCCAACCCAACCCCCCTCCAACTCCCACCCCCACAGAAAAGCACATACTTACCAGAATTTTTAGCAAGCA